AGATCAGATCGGCGCCCCGCAGCCGCTGGTCCACGCAGTCGTCGATGGAACACAGCCGGTCGCGGAGCTCGTTCCTCAGATCGTCGAGGCCGTCGGCGTCACGGCACCGCGGATCTGGCAGAGAGGAGGCCTCGATGGCCGCGGTGGAAGATGGCAGCCATCGCCCCTCGAGGCGGCCGGAGCCCTCGGCGCTGGCATCTCCGCTCGGGGCATCGGTCGCCGAAATCCCGTCGCCCTGCAGAGATGGCTCCCCTCGCAGGACTTGGAGCCGGGTTGTCACCTGCTGCATGAGCGCGCTGGCCTCCTCGATGAGGGGATCCAGCCTGTGTATCTCGCGCTTCACGGCCAACAAATGCTTTGACTTGATGGGGCCGCGAAAACTGCGCACCGCAGTCACTAGAGTCTCCACAGACACCCTGCCGTCCTCGTCGGCCAGGAGCCTGAATAGCTCAAGGCCAAGCTCCAAGTTCCCTGCATCGTCCATGTAGTTCACGTCCAGCAGGAACTCCCGTAGCGGACCTGTGCTCTCTGCTGCTTCCCTGAATGCGACCTCGTTCAACTTGCCGCTGTGCTCATCTGTAAGCCTTTCGGCAATCTCTTGCAACCGATCGTCCATCTTTCGGTTCGCGATCTCCTGGCTCTCTTCGTGTTTCTTCCGTGATGTGTCCAGAATGCTATCTGTGAGGACGCCTGCGACAGTGTTCAGCAGTGATATGCTCGTGAGCACGATGAAGAAGACGTAGAATAGTGTCAACCATGGGTGCGAAGTTAAAGTTTGGCGTGCAATATCTGGCCAACCTTCCAATGTCATAATTTGGAACAGCGTGAACAAAGTACGCGGAAGAGTACCATACCACTCACGAATAAGAGGGTCCTGGAATGAGTCACTATCGTCACAACAATCTTTGCCCACAACTCTCGTAACCAGCATCCCGCAAGTGTACAGCGTCAAAATGACGAGGACCATCGCCCATAACATAGCGCGCATCGCTGCCCATATAGCGGCAAGTAGCAACACCAACTGGTGAGCAAAACGGAAAACGCGCAGAAGACGCAATATCCGCAACATCCTGACAATACGGATCACGCGAAAGACGGAAAGGATGCGAAGCTCGAAATTGTTCCGAAGAAGGGGCAACAACACCACGTCAACCAAAGACACGACAACCAACGACGCGTCGAAGATGTTCCAAGCCGACCTGTGCCAATTGTTCCGCAGGGCCAGCATGCGCAGCAACATTTCGAAGAAGAAAATCGAGGTGAAGGTCCAATCCGACGCAAGCCAAGCAGCTGTGTCCTCTTCGGGGCGATGGTCGGTCTCGTACACCAGAACCACGCCGTTGATCATGATGGTCGCTGCCACGCTTACCTCAAAAGCACGGTGACGCACCACGCGCTTCGCCAGCGGCGCCATTGGCTTGACCAGCAGCACGGCGCCAGTCGTGGCCCACCACGGATGCAACCTCGAGCCAAAATGGCAACCGCACAATGCCACTGCTTTCTAGTCGAGAGATGTGCGCGTGCGGTCTCTCCCATTATTTGTATTCCATGCCCCTGCCCTGCCTCGTGCTGGCATGGTGCAAGAGGTCTGGCAGAAGAGCGGGAGGAACGCACGAGAAGAAGCAGCAGCGACCATCAGCGGCAGCCAGCAGCAGCAGTAAGTGTGAAACGCACTGACGACGCGAGTGAAACGATGCGTGTGAAATGACCCTGCTGCGGACAGCATGATGCGAACGAGATCATGTGAATAGGTACACTGGTTGGCGGCCAACTGGTCGTCAAAACACCTGCCCAACTGGGCCAGAAGCTTCTGCTGGAAGGCCGTGCGCTCGGCCTCCGCAGATTAGCAAGAGAACGCTTCACACCATGGTAGCCTCACGGGCAGAACACCGGTCATGACCCAATCTGGCCTTGACCAAGGAAACAGGACCCTCTCTGGAGCGCTCGCTGTCGCTGACCTGGGTATGACGAGATTTTGTTGTTGGGCTGGGTGTATATGCCTGCAGCTCTCGGCTTGCGATTCGCTTCGCGGTGGTTGATCATGATGCTAGAGGTGCTCATGATAATGATGGTGGTGATCACGTGCGGTGATGCACCTGGTGGTCATGTTGGTTCTATAGTGCTGATGGCCATGGTGGTGGTGACGGTGCTGGCAATTGTGGTTGGGTTTTGCTCATTCTCTCCACTAGCAACCAAGTCACCACGTGTCTCCCTTCGTTTATTTGCCTCCACTCTTTGGATTGACAAATACAACATCACCACTAGCTCGCTCAGTAACGATACACCTGACGATTCAACTATCAAGCTACAAGTTCAAGTAACAATATGTACAATATGTACCTGATGATGTAGACAACGGTCTAGGCATTGGACAACCACAGGGCAACCGCACAAGCCAACCCGCGAGGCACCGTCGTCGGCCAGAACTGAACAATGGCGTAGAACATGACATTCGTTGTTGTCGATGCCCTGAGCCACGGTCGGTTCTCGATCTCACCCGAACACGCAGCTTTGTCACGCCCGCACGCGCGGCACGAACCTGACCGAAACTGTTCTGGAGGGACGCTCCCCGCTTGGCTTTGACCTCACCCCCTCGCGACCTCCGACAACCTCCTACGTGCATGTCTTCCTGCTCTGCATATTGCCGCGTGGTCCCCTCCCCGTCTGTCCCCCGAGGAAGGAGGGGAGGAGGAGGAGGAGGAGGAGGAGGAGGAGGAGGAGGAGGAGGTGAAACTCCATGCCAAGAAATACCCTGCTTGCCTCCATGGTGCCCTGGGTTTCTTGGGCTTCGATGATGTTTCGCGATGGAAAACGTGACGTCTCCATGCCAAAACTCAATGTACATCCGGGGGTCTCAGGGTTTGGGGGTTTCTTGTGGAAAGTGTCTTGTGGTCGAGCTCCTACTGTATCCGCGCTCGGGGAACTTCTGACCCGGGTCAATCCCGACTAGGGCCAGTCAGGCTTCGCAGGATTATGCAGGGTCCCGCGGGATCTTGCACCCGAGACCGGGTCGATGTGCCCCTGGCCCTGCGGGACCCTGCAAGATCCGGCACACTGACTGGCCCCTGTTTGCATTGACCCCCGTCTCTTGAGCCCCGACACGCCCTTGCGGTCTGGATTCAGGAGCGCCGTGGAGTACGTCCCTACAGGGAACGAACAATGCATAAACATAACAACTCGGAGGTCCGCGCGGACTTCTAGGATCGGCGCTGGGGGCTCCTGGCGGCGCCTCTGGCGCCGCCCGTGGCGCGCTCCGCGCGCCAGGGCGGGGGGCCCAGCGCGGATCCAAGAAATCCGCGCACACCTCCGAGTTCTTCCCCAATCAATGCTCGCACTGAAGGGGTCCTAGCGGAAATTGAAAGATTTGGCGAACATTTCCTGCCGATTTTGGTGGCCGGCTGGGTTCCCAGGTTCCCTGTTCCGGGTTACTTCGGTGGGTTCTGGGTTCCCAGGTTCCCGGTCGATCTCCTTATCGATCTCTTCACCGATCCCACGATTCATCCACCCATCCACTGGCTGGGGCTTTCCTTTGGTGTGAGATGCTTCCGTCGTTTTTCGCTCCCCTCTAGTCCCGCGCGGGGCATCCTGGACAAAAACGCCCCTTCTGTCCGCGGGGGTCGAGGCCCAGAGGCCCGGCCCGCGATGCTCCCGTCGTGGGAGGGGCGGGAGCACCCGGGACCGAATCGATAAGTCGGATCGGCGATCGAGGCGGATCGGATCGGCTCGGCCATCGGCAGCCACGCCGGGCGCCGACTCGGCGGAGATCGGCAGGCCAACGTGCGTCCAGTGAGAAATCGGAGCCCACATCGGAATCTGGAGAGTCGAAGCGACTTGGGATCGGAGGCCATCGAAACCGCATCGAACCGAATCGGAAGCGTCGAATCGTCGGGGGCGGCCAAGAGGGGGGCGTCCAAGAGGGGGAGAGGGGGGGGCGCAAATCATGGCCGGCGGCATGTGCGCGGCCCAGGGGGGGGGGCCGGGGACGTCATGGAATAAGGAGAGGCACCATGAAATCTGAGGAAACATCATGGCCCACGCCAATTACCCCCCCCCAATTAGTCATCACCCCCCTCTTTGCCGCCCCCGAAATCGGAGCCAAAGAGGGAGGGGGGGCCGCGGCCCAGGGCCCCTGCGGTCGGCGCCTGCTCGGCGGCAGGCGATGCAGCCGGCGCGCCGGCACGGCGCGAGGAGCGCAGCACGGGGAAGGGAGGGGGGGCACTCCCGGCCGCGGCGAGCCTCGGCCACAGGTGGGTGCCCCGGCCTCGGGGAGGAGGGGAGGGGGGGGGAGGGGGAGGAGGAGGAGGAGGAGGAGGAGGAGGAGGAGGAGGGGGAGGAGGAGGAGGAGAGGAGGAGGAGGAGGAAAAGGAGGTGGAGGAGGAGGGGGAGGAGGAGTAATGGAATGGGATCAATGACTAAGTCGTGAGTGACGAGGAGGAGGAGGAGGAGGAGGAGGAGGAGGAGGAGGAGGAGGAGGAGGAGGAGGGGGATCGGGGGCGCGCAAACATGGATTGGATTGACGATCCATGGATTTGGCGCGCGGTCGCCAAATCCATGGATCCGGGGAGGTGCCTTCCCCAAACTGCGGCCGGTGCCGCCTCGCTCGGCGGCGACAATCCGCGATTTCCGATGGAAACGGGACCCGTCGCTAGTCCACACCCCCTTAATCCATGTTTGCGATCGCCTGATAGGTCTGAGGAGCGTCCCGAAAAAATACGGAGCCCCCCCCCTGAGCCCAGAGTGGCCCTTCTTTCGGCGCCTTGACTGCACCGTCAGTAGGGGAGCGAGGATCAGGGGTAGTATCGGCCGCCGATGCTGGAGTCTCAGATGTCAGAGTGAGACGCGCAAGGCTCACGCCCGGCACAAAAGACCGCCCATACACGCTGCGCTCGACCCCACGCATCTCATTCCCATCACTGTGAGGCCTGGCGGTGATGCACAACCCTGCCCGCTACACAAACTTTGAAGTGCAGCCTGCTGGGGGGGTGCATGAAGTGTGAAAATCATGGCAAGTGAAGAGCGCTTGCTGTTCTCCCTGCCGTGGTTGTCTTGGACAACTTGGAGAGTGCGGGATCTACAGATTTGCGCTTTTTGCTATCAATGCGGACCTCTTGCCCGGATTGCCACTGAATCCTGCAACAATCGAACCACGACTTCGCAACAAGCCCGAACTTCTCCGGCAACGACACGTATGCGCGCTGGGATAAATTATTGTACATGTTGCGACGGATGGCATCCAAGATGCTGCCGTACACATTGAGCGCTGTCATCACCCCAAAACGGTTGTGTTCAGAAAGGCCAATGATGCCGCCCTTTGCCCTCTCGTAGTACCCATTGCATCTGGCGATCTGAAACTCCATAAACCGCTGCCATCTCTCATCCCTCCAGAGCTCTAGCTTGCCCTCGCTGGCCTGGATGACCTCTTCCTCGTCAAGCCCAAACATGTTTAAATCCTCTGAGGGCACATAGATGCGACCTCAGAACTCCAAAGACGGATCGGAATCCATCGGGCCGAAGGTGCGATGCATCTGCGAACAAACACGAAGCCCTCCCCTGGTCCTATCTGGAGTTATTTGGAGCCCTGAATGGCTGCGCCATGACCTGATCGAGAAACGGACCGCTCAAAAACGTCCTGCACGGGTGGATCATCAACAAGCTTGGCTTTGGCTAAACAATTGGAGGTGGCTCTATTGAAAACAGATGGCCCAGGGGAGGCGATCATCGCGAGGCACGAGAAGATCATGATCCGAATGCAGCGATCTAGTCGAAGGTGAAATAGCCATCGACTCGCATCGCGGGCAGCGCCTGACCTCTGCGTGCGTCCTCGCCGACGTCCCGCAGGATGTTGGTGAGCTGGAAAGCGAGGCCCAAACACAAGGCAGCATCTATGGTGGCTTCCTTCAGCTCGTCCGTGCAGTTCTGGTCAGGGTCGAATCCGAGGACGCCGGTGGTCCCGAAGCGAGGATTGGATTGGCGGCAAAATTGGATATGATGACTGTGCGAGGGTGCAGAGACGGGTGCCCTTTGGACCTTCTGGAATACAGATGGTAAGCTATACTTGATCTCTCCTGGCTTCGTCCAACCTTTCACATAGAAATAAGTATGACCCTGCAAAATGGATACGAGCGACAAGCTGTTCTGGGGTCGACTCAGAACACCCGCCTCGATCGCCGATTTGCCTAGGGAACTGGCACCCCCTAACGAACAGTCTCTGACCTATATCGAAGTGCACCGCTCGCACAGCCTGGGCGCATGATAAGTGGATAGCGCCGACTGTGCGGCGAAAGCTGCACGGCGTAACCGCACCTTCCTGGGCGATTTATTTAGGAAATCCCTTCTGGGCAATACCACGGGGCACGACATCTGTACAGGAGCCCAGGGAAACACAAACAAATGGACACAAACTTAAGGAGTTCTCGTATTTTCTATCATATTCTCTGGATTTTGGTTGTCCTTTCCATGTCCAATCTGGCGCAGCAACATACTACGTGGGAATTGCGAGCGAGAAACCCACATGTGATCACGGGAGACAGGAAAGTAATGCTCGTGATGCGTGATTGCGCATGGGGATATTGTGGGGGGGAAGGGAAGGTGGAGGTGGGGGTGGAGCGGGCGGGGGAAGCGAGGGGGGCGAGTGGAGGAGATGGCCTGGGAAATGAGGATGATGGAGCCTGCCGCGTCCCCCCCGCTTGGAGCCCCCCGGGGGAATGGGAAGCGTCATCAAGCCGACCGTCCCCGCGACGCGGTAGCAGTAGACCTCGAGCTCGGAGAACGTCTTGTATCTCTCCTTCTCGCGGCGGGGAGGGGAGGGGAGAGGGAGAGTGGAGCAGCAAACAACTGCATAACTCAACCACGCACTATGAGAAGTCAGCGAGGACTCCTTAGATGGGCGCTGGACCTCCCTGGAGGCGCCTCCAACGTCGATCCAAGAAATCCGCGCTGACGCGCGACCTCCGAAAATTTAACCACAAAAATCAATCAATACACCCCTTCATCAAAAGAAATTGCCATGCTACCGGCACCGGGACCACCCTACAATTTCTGGACCAGAACTGACCGACGCCCCTCGCCCCGGCACCCCCACCTCCCAGGAACTCTGCTACAATTCCTGGCCTGGAACCGACCGACGCCCCCTACAACGCCCCCAAACCCCCCACCCATTGTAGCTCTGTTCTTGACAACTCCCACCTCGCAATTTCTGACCCGGAACCGTGCGACGCCCACTACCACGCCCCGGCGCCCCCACCTTCCCAGATCTGTGATCGTGGAAACCCCCACTCTACAATTTCTGGAATCGACCGACGCCCCCTACCACGCCCCGTCACCCCCAACTCCCGGGAGCTCTGTTCTGGGGACCCCCCCGGCCTACAAATTCTTGCCTGGAACCGACCGACGCCGGCAGCCCCACCTCCCCGGAGCTCTGTTCTTGGGACCCCGCACCCTGTAATTTCTGGCTTGGAACCGTCCGTCGCCCCCTACCACGCCCCGGCCCCCCCACCTCCCGGGAGCTCTGTGCTTGGGACCTCCCACCTTTCAAATTCTTGCCCGGATCCGATCGACGCCCCCTACTAAGCCTGGGCAACCCCACCTCCATGGAGCTCTGTTCTGGGGACCCACCGCTCTATCATTGCTTGCCCGGAACCGACCAACGCCATGTTGCAAAACCATGTGCTCACCGTTTCGGGACACTAGATTTTGAAATCTAGTACGACACCCAAAATGTTTGAAGGACTTCAGCATGCGCGCGCGACGACGCGCGCGTGCACATCGTCCCGTCTTTTGCCAGGGGTAGCAATACATGAAAATGTTCAAAACCTCATGTCTTCCTTAAGAATTCGCAAGAGCCCGAGCGCAACTTGCTTTGAAATCTCTGGTTGCGAAATCATGTGTTTAAATATGTTGTCGGGATGCTCGATTTTGACTTCCTTACGGAAGCTAATGTTTCCTGAAGGATTTCGGCATGCGCGCGCGACGACGCGCACGTGTGCACTTCGTTCCATGTTGTGCAAGGGGTTCCTAACAACTGATGTTTTTTGTTGCACGAGTGTGCGCGCACAGCACTTTCTGCAAAGGATGAAGTGGGGGATGCGGGCCTGCCTGGAATAATCTCAACTCACATGTAGGATGGACGATGGGGCAACAACATATGTACATTGCCCTACGAAAAAGGAATACCATTAATTCGGGGGGGAGGAAGCGGGTAGGTCCTACAACTTTTTAAAACGGGAGAATCTACGTGCTGCAATACATACATATATGGGTATATATGCATATCTATATAGATGTATAGATAGATAAATGTGTGTGGTGCAATTTACGTGGTGCAATCTAGGCGGCGACGGGGCGGCAACGACGACGGGGCGGCAACGGCGACAAAATAACTGCCAGACCGCCAAACCAGCCCAGCTCCTTAGCAAGAAGCAAGAACCCCTAAGTGCAAGCACTGCTTGTGGACTCTATTGTATTCCAGTTGAAACGATGGTTCCGAAATCGATAAGGACACTGATAGATGGACACCCTCATCGCTGGATAGACAAATCGCAAAGCCAGTGCAACGCCAATCGCAAACCAGTTCACCCTCAACCTCTGTATCACCTGAAAAGGCGGTCTATGACTATATGATATTTTCTATTTGCTGACATTCGCGGCTCAAGCTGGTTCCAATAACTAATGCCTCTGAAAATCGAAATAGAAGCCAGAAGAGCCACCGAATGTCTCGCATAGGCTCCCCAGAAGACGCAAGCCAACACCGAGAGGGCCCCACGATTGCCCAAGAGGAGCCAGGACAGATCAAGAGAGTCCCAAGACGGCCCAAGACTGCCCCAAGACAACCCCACGAGACTCCCCAGACTGCCCAAGATGGCCCGAGATGATCCAAAGAAGGCCCCACAGCAGCCCAAGAGGGGCCCCTGTAGGAAGAGGAGCTAGAGGTACAGCCATTGGTGCTCGAGACGTCGCCACACAAAGTGCTGCACTGCAGCTGGATCCGCCGCCCCCTGTTGCTTGCAAGAGGGGTGCCTGGCGTGCTGAATCCTATCGTTTTTGGTTTTGGTTCTTTTTCCAAAAGAACTCCCCCTGGGGCGCCGGCGCGTCCCGCCGGCCACCCGCAAGGATGCCGAAAATTTGCCCGGACCCGGCTCCAAAAGGTTTTTCTTTCTGGTCCAAACGGCTCCACGACGCCCCAAGATGGCCTCCAAGATGCATCCCAGACGGCCAAGATGGCCTCCAAGACGGCTACGATGGCCCCAAGATGCCTCCAGGACGGCCCAAAATGTACCCAAGATGGCGTAAGATAGCCTCAAGACGGCCTAATAAGCCTCAATACGGCCCAAGAGACCTCCAAGAGGTGCTCCAGGAGGGCCAGCAGAGGCCAAAATCATAGATTTTCCTTTGGTTTTGAAGGATCTGGGCTTTTGCCTCTTCTCGGCGTTCCGACGGCTCATGACGGCCCAAGATGCCGCCAAGGTCGCCCCACCATCGCCCACGAGGCCTCCAAGAGGGCCCAATGACGGCCCAAGAGGCCTCCAAGATGCCCCCAAAGGGCCCCAAGACGGCCCAAGAAACCTGCAAGACAACCAAGATGGCCTCCAAGACGGCCCCGAAGCGCCCTAAGAGGACCCCAAGTCGGTTCAGAGAGGCCCCCAAGACGGCTCCCGACAGCGTCAGACGTGCCAGGAACCCACCAAGATGGCTGAAGTTGGCTCGAAGCTGGCCTAAGACGGCCCAAGAGGCATCCAAGAGGGCTTCCAGGAAAGCCAGAAAAGGCCAACAACACTGATGTTCCTAAGGTTTTGGAAGGAATTTAACATGTGCTTCTTTTCGGCCTTCCGACGGACCGAGACGGCCCAAGAGCCCCCAAAGATCGCCCAAAGGTCGCCCAAGAGGTCTCCAAGCTGGTTTCAGAACGGCCCAAGAGGCCCCCAAGACGGCCCCGAGAGGCCCCCAAGACTGCTTTTAAGACGCCCAAGATGGCCTTCAAGACGGCCCTGGAGCATTCCAAGAGGGCCCCAAGTCCGCTCAGAGAGACCCCCCAAACGGCTTCCGACGGCGTCGGAAGGGCCAGGGGCCCACCAAGACGACCGAAGATGGCACTACGATGGCCCAAGATGGCCCAAGAAGTCTCCAAGAGGGCCTTCAGGAAGTCCCGAAAAGGCCCAAATCATTGATTTCCAATGAATTTTTGAAGGATTGTGGCATTGCTTTTTTTCTGCCTTCCGACGGCCCGAGACGGCCCAAGTGCCCCCAAAGATCGCCCAAGAGGCCCAAGACGGCCCCAAGAGGCCCCCAAGACGGCACAAGGCCTCCAAGACGCTCAAGATGGCCTCCAAGACGGCCCAAGAGCCCTCCAAGACGTCCTCCAACAAGGCCCGAAAGGGTCAAAATTGCCTCCAGGCGGCCAAGATGACCTTCAAGATGCCCACGTTTTCCCGAAGGCCTTCCAAACCGATTCGGGGAGCACATGGTCGGATAGCTTGGCAGGTCTGGCCTCAACGTTCGGCCACATAGGCGCTTCTAAAAAGGCAGGGGGCGGCGGTGATTCGCCGTAGGCATCTTCGATAGAACAATTCGTTAATACAACCTCCCTGCCCAACCTTTACGGACCGCCCGATCCTTCACGAGGTCCATGGCCATGCCACCGATCATGTCCTCAAACGGTCGGGGGATCAGCCCGAACCTGTACACGGAATCAATCAGTGCCAGGTCCGCACTGTTGCCAGTCTCCTTGAGTTGGAAGCGTATGCGGGGTCTGAATTGGTTGGGACCCCAAAAAATCTCAGGAGGGGAGACGATGCCAAATCCGGTCAAAATCAATCCCCAGACCCTTGCTGGGGTCCATCTGGTGCACTTTTTCACACCAGATCCGCTTTTGACTGTCCGGAGGCCCGAAGACGGCCCCTGGAGGGCGAATGAGTCACAAAAACATTCCCGAACCCAGGACCTCGAACCTTCCCGCCCTTCCTGCTGGCTGGAACCAGTGCTGGGGCACCTCAGATCCCAAGACGCTAATCGACGCTAGTGCACTCTAAAGACGGAATGACGAGGGTATACAAGGCTCCCATGATTTGCTTCCGAATCCTTGAGTTCAAAGATCTGCTGCAGCGCATGCTCCCGCGCTTCCAGATCCTCCATGGTCGTGCCAATCGCTTCTGGCCCGTCGACCAGCTCGTCGGTGCAGCGGCACCAGTGGTAGATGGCCCACACCGCCCGCTGCTCCGCAGGCCCTAACAGCTGCGAGCCTAAAAAGAACGACTTCGAATACTCCTGGCAAGGCTCGAGCTAAACAACGTTTTTCCGTTTTCGTGGAGTCTTCGTTTCCCCTCGTCCTGCCTCCGCTCCGCCTCTGCCTCGAAACGAAATCACAATGGAAACGTTCCACGAAATTGCGAATCACGAAAACACCGCTCATTTGGACGCCCGAAATGGGTACGGAAACAATGGGTACAATGCCCAACAACAAATGTTGTCCCAAACCAACAGCGGCCGCTGTTGGGCAGGAAGCCTTCTGTCTCGAACGGACACAGGCCGAGGCGGCGCGGACAGCGAGTCCTGCTCAAAATGAACAGGAACTGCTGTTGGGCATCGTACCCATTCTTTCCGTACCCATTTCGGGCGTCCAGAGCTCAGCTCGCGCCCCGAAAAAGGAACCCGATTTAGCCCTGACCCGGGTTACCCCTGATGATGTGGGGCTCTGGACGCCCGAATTATCCGGGGTAACTCAGGTCCGGGATAAATCGGGCTCGGATTCCCGAAACGCGAACCCGAGTTAGCCCTGACCCGAATTACCCCTGATGATTCGGGGCTCTGAGAAAACAGCGCTTAACTCGCGCCCCGATTCCCATTCTTTCCGTACCCATTCTTTCCGTACCCATTCTTACCGAACCCATTTCGGGCCCATTTCTTTCCGTACCCATTTCGGGCGTCCAGAGAATTAATTAACTAATTAATTAATTGATTAATTGATTAGTCGACTAATTCATTAATTAATCAACTAATTAATTCATCAATTAATTTAGCTCGCGCCCCCATTCCTGGGCCACCTCCCGGCACTCCGCGTACGCGGCGTCGACCCTCTGGCCGCCGACCGCGGGCATCGCGCGCGCCCGCCCCCGCCGCGGGAGCAGCAGGCCCCGGAGCTCGGCGGCCGCGGGGACGACCAGGGCCTCCCGCGGGGGCCGGGGCAGCTCGCGGAGGAGGAGGAGGAGGAGGAGGAGGAGGAGGAGGAGGAGGAGGAGGAGGAGGAGGAGGAGGAGGGGAGGAGGAGGGAGGGAGGAGGAGGGAGGAGGAGGAGGAGGATGAGAAGGAGGAGGAGGAGGAGCAGGAGGAGGAGGAGGAGGAGAAGAAAATGAGGAGGATGAGGAGGAGGAGGAGGAGGAGGAGGAGGACGAGGAGGAGGAGCAGGAGGACGACGGATGACGACGGAAGACGGATGACCGACGACGGACGGCCAACGAAGGACGACCGACGACCGACCCTCCAGCGGGGGCCGAGCAGCTCGCGGATGGGGTCCGAGCAGACGGGGCCGGAAGATCGCGCCGCATCAAAACGACGCGAAGATCGGGACAAAATCGGATCGGGATAACTCGAAGTCTCTGGGAATCGGCGGGTTTGGAGGATGTATTGGGCGCCGCGGTCGCTCCAGAGCGTTCTGGAAAGCTCTGAGAGCGCTCCGGAACGCTCTGGATCGATGTATCCCGATCCTGGCCCTGTTTTACGCATCGCCGATCCATCTGCGATGAATCGGCGACGTCGGCGATGAATCGGGGTCGTCGGCGTGGAGAAGGTCGGGCTCCACATCGAGCCGCATCGCCGAAATCCTCCGACCCCATTTGCTCCGACCCCATCAAGGAGGCCTCGAGGGGCGCGGAGGACGACCGTCTTTGCCGGGGAACCGCCCTCAAACATTAGAAGGCAACTCCTGGGATAGTTTCGTATGACATGCTGAAGGCTCTGAATCAACCAGATGGAAGGCCGTTCAACAGGATCGACCAAGATTGACCCAAAGATCAAAACGGATCACACAAGCTGGATTGAGCGGGAGTATGTCAGTTTTCGCCCAACGATCTACCAGGGACGCTGCTGAATTAAACCTCTCAGGCGTTGCATCCGAACTGACATGCTCCGACTCTGGCGTGACGGCTACAAAAAGAGGTGTCCGCGAGATGCCGTAAACTTCAGTAGTAGGAGGAAGAGCTGAGTTGGTCGCTCACAAGTTTGCACCCACGTCACGCACGACACGAAGCCGAACTACGACTTCCAAGTGGGGCGCGGCTTCACGAAGACTCTCCCCCGAAGCACTTCCCATGGATCTGTCCCAGGGCTGGGGGACGATTCCTTCAGTTGCCGTCCACCCCCCCTGGCACGCTGAGGCGCGCTGGAGTGCCGACTGATGGCTGGCAGAGAGGCTTCTCCGCGGAGCTAGCCAGGCGCGGGCACCCAACGAGGAGGAGGGGGAGGAGGAGGAGGAGGAGGAGGAGGAGGAGGGAGGGAGGAGGAAGAAAGAGGAGGAGGAGAGGAGGAGGAGGAGGAGGAGGAGGAGGAGAGGAGGAGGAGGAGGAGGAGGAGGAGGAGGAGGAGGGAGGAGGAGGAGGAGGAGGGAGGAGGAGGGAGGAGGGAGGAGGAGGGGCTGGGGGAACGATTGCTTCAGTTGCCGTCCCCCCCCCCCCCCCCGGGCACGCTGAGGCGCGCTGGAGTGCCGACTGATGGCTGGCAGAGAGGCTCCTCCGCGGAGCTGGCCAGGCGCGGGCACCCAACGAGGAGGAGGGGGAGGAGGAGAAGGAGGAGGGGGAGGAGGAGGGAGGAGGAGGAAGGGGAGGAGAGGAGGAGAGGAGAGGAGGAGGAGGAGGAGGAGAGAGGAGGAGGGAGGAGGAGGAGGGGAGGAGGAGGAGGGCTGGGGGACGATTGCTTCAGTTGCCGTCCCCCCCCCCCCCCCGGGCACGCTGAGGCGCGCTGGAGTGCCGACTGATGGCTGGCAGAGAGGCTCCTCCGCGGAGCTGGCCAGGCGCGGGCACCCAACGAGGAGGAGGGGGTGGAGGGGAGGAGGAGGGGGGAGGAGGAGGAGGAGGAGGAGGAGAGGAGGAGGAGGAGGAGAGAGGAGGAGGAGGAGAGGAGGAGGAGGAGAGGACGAGGAGGAGGGAGGAGGAGGAGGAGAGGAGGAGGAGGAGGAGGGGAGGAGGAGGAGGAGGAGGGACGAGGAGGGGAGGACGAGGGACGAGGGACGAGGGACGAGGGAGGAGGAGGAGGAGGAGGAGGAGGCGGAGGAGGGACGAGGAGGAGGGACGAGGAGGAGGAGGAGGAGGAGGAGGAGGAGGAGGAGGAGGAGGATGCAAAGTCCGCGGGGACCAAGGCCCGGCAGAGCCGAGCAGGCGCCCCCGAGCGCGCACTGCCAGAGGCCGCCTCGGGCGGCGCCGACGGGGCGCGCGGCCGACGGGAGGCGGGGGCGGGAAGTGCCACCGGGGCGGTACGCGGCCCCAACCCGGAGCTCCAGGCCCGCCGACGAGGTGGCATTTGCGAAAGCACGGCGGTCACACTACCTGACACACACATATGTGTATATATACCTATATATATATATCGATGCTTGTGCATACGTATGCACTTACTTACGCACATACGTGCATACCTGCATACATACATACATACACACATACAGACATACATACACACGTACACACGTACACACGTACACACGTACATACGTACATACGTACATACGTACATACGTACATACGTACATACGTTCATACATTAATACATACATACATACATACAATCATGCTTACATACATCCATCCATCAATCCATCCATCAATACATCCATACACATACACAAACACATACGTACATACACACGTACATACACACATACATACATACACACATACATACATACATACATACATGCATGCATGCATGCATACATACATACACACATATCTATGTATATATACATACACACACATGCATACATACATACATACATACATACACACACATACATACATACATACATACCTACATACACACATACATACATACATACATACACACATACATACATACATACATACATACATACACCTACATACCTGCATACATGCATATACATATACGTATACATATACATACTCATATTCATATGCCTATTCATATACATATACACATACGTATACATATACATACATACGCACGTACATACACACGTACGTAAACACACACATACACATGTACGTACATTCACACATACATACACAGGTACGTAAATACACACATACATACATACACACATTCAACCATACACACATACACATACATACAGGAATCCATGCGTACATACATACAGTCATACATACATGCACGCAGACAGACATACAGACAGACATACTGCCACTTACACATACATTTATATTTGTGTATATATATATATATGTTGCTCCCATCATACTCAAGGACCACATCCTATAAATAATTTCGAGTACCCAGAACAATGTCGAATGAATGTCGAAAGAGTGTCGAAACAATGTCGGACGAGTGTCTCCGAGGGCCCGGCACGTGAAAACCCTCGGGTTTCGGTACTTTTCTCGAAATACTCTCTGGTAGTCAAGGCTAAAGTAGAGGCCACCTAGATGGGGTCCGAGTAGATGGGGTCGAAGGATCGCGCCGAATCGCCAATGCATCGCCGATGTATCGGCGATGCATCGACGATGCATCGGCGGGCGACGCATCGGCGACGTCGACGTCGACGTGAAGCAAATCGGGCTCCACATCGAGCCGCATCGGCGACGCATCGGCAATGTGGCGTGATCCTCCGACCCCATCTACTCGGAACCCATCTGGGAGGCCTAGAGAAAGCAGGCTGGAGCATCATGAATATATATATATATATATATATATATATGTGTATATGGCATTTGGGCACGTATCAGGGGGACGTAAGACCTGGGTACAGGGGACTCGGAAATCCCCGACGAGGTCGTCCAACAAAAATGACGAGGCCGAACCTGCATTTTGACGAGGCCTCCCGCTGCAGACATCCCACGAAACTCCTCCTCGTCAAAATCCGAGGCGCGGTCGCCACAAAACGATGGCGAGCCCGCGTCCTGGCAAACCCGGGTCTTACGCTCCCCCGAACGTAGCAGCTCCGCCGGCGCCCGCGCGCCCAGTCTGAGCAGCAACGCAAACCGGCCCGCGGCCCCGAGGTGCAACCCGCGCCGCCGGCCAGCGGCTGCCCCCGCGCGGCAGGCGCGCGGCGTGCCTTGGGCGGACCGGCGCCCCCCGTGCGCGGAGGGCGCCTCCCGGCTCGCGGCCGGGGGCAGGCGGCGGGCGCGGTCGCACGGCGCCGCGCGCCCGTCGCCGCGCTGCCTCCACGGGGACTGCTCGCCCCGCCGCCGCGCTGGAGCCTGCTGCCGCGGCTCGCCCTTCTCGCGCCCGCGTGGCCGTCGCGCCCCCCCCCTCCCCCGCCAGGTGGCTCGGCGCTTGCCGCGCCCGCGTCGCTGGCAGCGTTGCTGTGAGGGCCAGGCGGGAAGGGTCGCGGCCATCGCCTCCAATCGTCCGTTTGGCCTGCCAGGGGAGTCGCTGCTCGCGACTGTCACTGTCGCAGAGCCGCCACGCCTTGGGGGGGTTGGCGGGTTGCACGACCGGCCAGGCCATTCGCTGCTGGGGTCGGCCCTAAGAGAGGGCGCCGCCGCGCAATGAGTGGCGCCGGGGTTTCCAGGAACGCCGCTGATCGTGGCAGACTTGTGGAGGAGCGTCTACCCTTAAAAGCAACCGCTCCGATCAGTCCGCTGGGCCCGCCTTCGCTGGGGCCATCCCTTGGAGGGGATGACATCGGCCAGGGGATCCACCCAGTGTGTTCGAGACGCCATCGACGCGATTGTCTAAGACGCCGTCCGCGGCGCGCAGCTGGCGGCCCAGGTCACGGAGGCGGGCGAGGTCGTCCTGCTGGAGCTCGTCGCCGAGGCGGAGCCACTCCACGGTCACGCCTGGCTCCTTGTTCGACACGACATTTTTGAGCTGCCCGATCATCCACCAACTGGGGGCCAACTGCCGCCCGCGCGCAGCGACGCCGTCGACGCCCGCCCCGAAACCTGGTCGCCCTTCTTGCACGCTCTGTTCGGGGACTGGGGAAGATGCATTCAAGTCCGTCGTGCTGATCGCATTGATG